AGGTAGAGATTGGATTTTGATTAAATAATTTGATTAAATTTTTGATTAAATTCACATAATTTGATTAAATCCATATTTTGGAGTGTAAGGGCGAAATATTTAGGAAAGCTGGATAAAAGATAAGTTGAAATATTTTAGGAGAAAAATATGAAAAATCCCAATAATAACACTAACTTAGGGTACCCAGAGTGATAGCCCGGGGTTTCTTGATGTCCTTGATATGTGATATAACAGCATATTTTTACAACCTTTACAAAACTTTTAACCTTTACAATGTGATATAACCTTTACAAAACTTAGGAATAATATATCCTACATGCATTTCACATGTAAAATCCGCAGATAAATTTAGGCAAATTTGTGCTAATCATGAAAAATTTAAGAAATACAATTATTAGAAATTTTATGCGTATTACACATATATAAGATGCTGTGACCTTCAGAGAAAATTCCTTTTTTTTTCATCAAAAAATTGAACAAAAATTTGAACTCACACGTAAAAATTGCATTAAATTAAGCTCTCCTTCCGAGCAAAAATATGTGCTCATATCTGAATGATATTTCGAATCGATAAATTCCGGTGTAAGCCAATTGCGCAGTTCCTCGTGCTGCAAAATTTAAAAATTAAAAAAAAAAATGAATTAAAAGCCTTCCGTTACTTTTTCCGCAGTGCCATACCATCTCGGCAAAGCTCTTGAACGCATACCCCAAAAACGCTGATTCGGGAACGTAAACGCAAATATTTGCTTTTATTTTTAATAAAAATTAGAAACTGTGTGCTGCCGTCACTGTTCAATTGTATTCAAAAATCCAAAGGTTAGTCCGTGTATTAAAACTTTTGAAAGAAAAAAAGTGACGGTTCAATTATGTGATGTCCAAATTGTGAAATACTAGAAAGAATAATTAATCATTTGCGTGTGTATGTGTTTATGTGCGTGTGTATGTGTGGGTATGTATATGCGTGTGGTGTGTGTATGTATATATGGATATTTTTATGTATGTGTGTGTATGTATATATGTGTGTATCTATGTATGTACGTATGCATGTATATGTGTGCATATGTGTGTACGCGTGCGTGTATTTGTGTAGATGTATATATCCTGTATGTATATGTGCGTATGTGTACGTACGCGTATTTGTGTAGGTGTGTATGTGTGCATGTATGTATGTGTGTGTGCGCATGCCTGTGTGTTTGTGTGTGCGTGTGTATGTATGCGCTTATGTGTGTGAATTTATATATGTATGTGTGTATGTGT